CTGTGGATGCAGAATACAAGAAATATTTATTTTAACATTCCAAAGCAACCCGATTTTGGGTTTGCGTCTAAGGGGCAACATTCTTTACCTGACCTCAGATAAAAAAAGTCTGACCCACTGACCCCTAATGTTCAGTGAATTGTGTTATTATTGCTGAATATAGATTTTTGAAATTAACGTAAATACAGGAGGAAATATAAATGAAGGTTAGACATTTCCTTAATCTCTATGGGAAATGATCAATGAAATGAAATGAAATGAATGAAATGAATGAAATGAATGAAATGAATGAAATGAATGAAATGAATGAAATGAATGAAATGAATGAAATGAATGAAATGAATGAAATGAATGAAATGAATGAAATGAATGAAATGAATGAAATGAATGAAATGAATGAAATGAAATGAAATGAAATGAAAATGAAATGAAATGAAAAAATATCTTTATTCATATGGTATACAGTCGCATACATTGAATGGCGTCACTAGGCTTAAAACTAAATCAAACTTACAATTCATTGAAACCATAAAGTGTTTTGCCAGTTAAGAAATGTTTAAGTTTTTTTTTTTAAATTTGGAAATATTATCAATATTCCTCACCTCAGCTGGGAGTTTGTCCAAAAACCTTTTCCCTGCACAGGTGGTTTTTTTGTTAAAGAGCTCCAAATTATGGACACTGACAGCAATTTCATTTCTGTTCCGGGTAAAATAATTATGATTATCACCAAGTTTAGGGACCAAATTAGCATTAGAAAGTTTTTTTGTGTGTAAAATTGTATGAAAAACATAAATACTTGTGACGCAAAATTCTAAGGGGGGAATAAACTAGTATTCACCTAAGTCAGGCTAGGCCTACCCTAGAACCGGCCACACTCAAATTTCTTCCCCGGAGTGCTCAGAAGGAGCCGAGAAAAATCCAGGGGTCGATACGAAGTTGTCACGGCTTTGACTGATCAATTTATTTAAAATTTAATCGAAGGCTCAGAGCTCTAGAAGCGCTCAGGAAATCCTGCAGACGCCCAGTTGGAGCTATATCATCCCAGCCTTCGTAAAAGTGTTTTGGAGAATTTTGCCTAACTTTTAGAATGACTCTGTAGGGCCGACGAGTATTCAATCTGAAGCCAATGTGATTCAATTACTCGTAATGAACTTTAAAATAATTAGCTAAAGGCCTAGGTAAATAATATAAAATCGAATATAATGTAAAACCCAATCCCTACAGAGTCGTCGGGGCCTAATTAATATAATTGGACAGATAATTTAACGTGAGTGGTTTAAAATAAATTTAATACTGATTTTTGTAGCTGATTATTCAACTCAGCCTGCTCCCAAGACTTGATTCTTTCACCCGCCAAAGACGGGGTTTAGAACTCAGACGACGAGTCTCGGGGTATTAAAACGTCGAATTAACTGGAATAACTTAAGTAATAATTTAATCGTGAAACGAACCGAATTAACGTAATTTAATAGCCAATTGGTTTAAAAGAGCCGAAAAATATCCACTGCTAGTCACTGGCAGGCAGGAACTGGCGGGTTTGTACGAGTCGGCAAGAACTAAGTTAATAAAATTTAGAAAATTATAATCGAACGTAAACGGATAAAATAAATGGCAGACGAGTATGCGTATGTTAGAAAAAGAATATTTAAAAGAAAGTAGGAAAGTCTGAAAACGTAGCTAACCTGAATCGATATCGTATGACGAAGTTAGTTTCGTTGTGCGAAGAGGCTTCTCGTTAACGAGTCGACGGTCGAACAGCGAATAATCTTGTCCGGCTCAAATCATGATTCATGATTTCCTCGGTCGAGGCTTAATCGCTCTGGTGGTGAGTTCGAGAACTAGCCAACAGCTGATCGGAAATTCACCTGTTGAGCCGGTCTAGTTGTCTTTTGTCGTCTGTCGTTGGTCAACAAACACCATTTTGAGGTTAAGTGATGTTGTCATCGGCGTTAAATATTTGTAAAATCGGTCGTTTTAACTTTATTATGTGAAACGAAGTGCTATTATGAATAAATATATCGTTGTGGGTGTGTTTGTGTACTTCACTGTTATTAAAAGTAGGCCTACGTTCTTTGGCCCATAGCCCAAGCTAGGGCCAACACATAGGCCTAGGATTAGGATGTTGTGGATAAAAATCGGGTAAGTTATGGTGTTTGTTGACTAGCAATACGTTTTTACCCCCTTTAAAATTTGGTACCTCACATACTATACACAGTCATTATTCCCAATTTTGAAAAATATTGACGAGCGGAAGTATCCCATTCTAAATTTAACATAATTCTGATTGCACTTTTTTGAAGAGTAAGAATTCTATCCAGGTTTTGCTTAGAGGTACAGCCATAAATACTTATGCCAAAAGATATTGATGAATCGATAAAAGAAAAATAAAGAATCTTTAATGTTTCTATTGAGCAAAATTTTGACATTCTATTAATAGCATGGATACCAGAAGTAATTTTGTTGACTACCTGGTCAACATGCTTATTCCATGTAAGATTTTTGTCTAAAATTAATCCTAAAAACCTTGTTGTGGTGATTTCTTCCAATTTATTATTTTGAAATTGAATTACAGGCTGTACAATTTGTTTTCTTTTTCCTGTTGTAAAAACCATAAAATTACTTTTGCTTAAATTTAACAAGAGCTGATGAGAATTTAAAAAAGTATTTAGTATATTTAAAGTATCAGAACAATGATTTTCTAAATTTGATAAAGATGAATTGCTGATTTTAAAAGTAACATCATCAGCATACAGGAAGATATTACTACTGTGTAAACTAGTTGAAAATGGAATTGACAGATCCCTAATATAAATGAGAAATAAGATCGGTCCCAAAATAGACCCTTGGGGTACCCCATGGTGAATCTCTGTAAGAGGAGAAGATCTTGAGATTAACCTGTTATTTGTCAAATTTTTAATTTCAACGTATTGATATCTGTTTGAAATATATGATCTAAACCATTCAAACGAAATGCCATCAATGCCCAAACTTCTGATTTTATCTAAAAGAATTGTATGTGACACACTGTCAAAAGCCTTACTTAAGTCTAAAAATATGCCAACTGTTGTTTCACCTTTGTCAAGAGAGTTTATTACTGATTCTATAAAATCTATTGCTGCAGTTGTAACTGATCTTCCTGATCTGAAGCCATGCTGATTATTGTCATGTAAAGAATACGTTTCCCGATAATTTGTCAGTTGTATGTAAACTGCTTTGTCATATATTTTTGAAATGGTAGGTAATAGCGAAAGAGGACGGTAATTGGTTATTTTTTTTTAATCATTGTTTTTATAAAGAGGAATAACTTTAGCAATTTTTAATTTAGAAGGAAATAATCCACTAACAAAAGATGAGTTAATTAAATGCACAAGAGGTTTCACTAACTGATAGCAAGCATGCTTTAATATTGTCATGGGTATCTCATCAAAACCAGTTGAAAGTTTGTTATCAAAGGAACTGATAATTTTTAAAACTTCACTATCTGTGACTGGTTTTAAACTAAATTTAGTTTGGGAGGCTTGTTGAATTGGCTTGTTGACATGTGTGTTGCTATTTTGTGCAAGGTGAGGAAGTATTGATGAGGTTACATAGGTGCTAAAAAAAATCATTAAATATTAAGCTAATATCTCCAGGATCAGTAAACAATGTATGATTAAAATCTATTTCAATATTACTAAATGCTGGTTTCTTGTTGGAGACCTCATTATTAAGGATTTTCCAGGTAGTTTTACATACATTACTAGATTGCTTAACCTTAGTCTCAAAATGTTTCTTTTTAGTAGCAATGACTTTTTTTCTAAAATCCTTATTCAGACTTTTGGCTTTATCAAATAAAATTTTATTTTTTGTGTTACGTGCCATTTTACTCATGTTTACAATTTTAGATTTTTCATTCTTCCAATCTTCTGTAATCCAGATGTTGTGGGTTTGGTTTCTTTGTCTGTTTGCATTTGCTTAATATTACCTTCCAGCCCGGTAATTAAGTTGTCTTTGATTTTAATCTGATTATTTAATTGAGAAATCCTAGTCTCAAGATCATCGATTTCCTTCCTATATTTAGAGCACAGTTCCTCAGACTCCTCCTCAGCTAACCTCAGGGATTTTTCCATCTTACTTTTCTCAAACATGAGCTGATAGTTAATCTCATTCAATTCTAATAAACTAGTTTCATGCTCAGGTTCATTATGTGTTTCTGGATCAAAAATAAACTCCTCAGCTGTTATTTTAAATGAATTAGCTTCATCTATAGCTTGTCTCAATTTACTAGTCACTCTCTTTGTAGGTAAAACATCTTCTACATACATAGAAAAATCAAACATATCCATCCCCTTGCAGGTGCCAGTCTGCCCCGTGCCAAAAAATGTTACATGATATTTATCTTTGTCTACCTTGGTTACAAGAGCAGGCCATGGCTGATGTCCTTTAATTTTTGCAAAAATCTTGTCATTAATTGAAAACATTATTTACAAATAGTCGAGAATATATTTACAATAGGTAGGTACAGTTTAATCTTCTTTCATTTGTATGCGGGTAATGTATATTTAATTATTGTAGAGTAAAATGGATTTAGGTAAAAATAAACATAAACAAACTTCGGCATATATGAATCCTTGAACTGAGTTACAAGAGATAAGATAAGGACCCCCAGCAGAGTCCAGTCAATCTGACCCTCCTTATCTGATCTGATAACAGACCCTTCTCTGCACTGTTATTTGAAATATTTTCAGGATTTTTAATCACATTTTCTTACCTAGCTGTTTAATTCTTTTCCACTTTGATAAAAAAAGTCAAGATAACATTCACTAGTTAAAAGTACACAAATTATAGTAAAAATTATGTATAAAATTGCAGTATTTACTCATAAAATTAGCAAAAAATCAGGAGCACAAACTACACTAGACTTGCCTTGCTGCTCTCTCCCTCTCCACTCCTCCTAGTGCATTAATAAAAATATTAATTACAAGACACACACTTACAAAAGAAAGCTGTTATGTAAATACCCATTGTAATTGAAGAACTGCACAGCGGACCAGCCCAGCTCCACCTGAGTCATCTCCTGTGCTGCTGCTGCGTTCTCTCCCTCGGCCGCTGGGGTGACGGAGCGACCGTAGACCACCAGCACAAGACGGCACTCTCGGGGTAACTCACACACTGACATGCCCTCAAAGTTCAACCTGCACATTTCAAATATCCCAAATATTTCCAAAAAATTATACATTGAACAGTTAAGGGTTTAAGATATCTCCTTACCTGCTCTACACTAGGATGTATTAGGGATATTTTACAGAAAGTAATAGTATACACATTGATTTTATTAGTTTAGTTATTATACATTATACATTAGTTTTATTAGTTAGTAACTTTTGTTTGTTGAGAAAGACTCTATTACTGAAGAGGAGCTGGAAGCTCCAAAAAACTATGTGTTTGTGTGTTTCTTTGTGCATTTTCATCTATTTCGGCCAGTAAGGCAAGCCTGCTGTTAAACCTATCCACCACAAAATCCTTGAAAACATAAAAAAATTAAACAAAAGAAATTAGCTTTAATAATGTATGTGTAAAATATTAGAATTACCATGAATCAAAGACAATCCGGTTGTAAAGGGAGGTGGATGGAGATGTTGGCTTTGACAGTACAGGATGGCCTACAGGTCGGGTGCCGTGGTACAGCTGACCAGCGACCATGTATGTGTCATGGGTCCAACTGGCCGACAGACGATGGAGACACTCCACATGGACCAGTACTGTGTCCAACACCTCCGAGGACAGCTTGGTAGTGTCTGTAACACACAATATTGTGTAGGTATTCTAAGATTCTATAGACCATGTATGTGTCATGGGTCCAACTGGCCGACAGACCATGGAGACACTCCACATGGACCAGTACTGTGTCCAACACCTCCGAGGACAGCTTGGTAGTGTCTGTAACACACAATATTGTCTAGGTATTCTAAGATTCTATAGACCATGTATGTGTCATGGGTCCAACTGCCCGACAGACGATGGAGACACTCCACATGGACCAGTACTGTGTCCAACACCTCCGAGGACAGCTTGGTAGTGTCTGTAACACACAATATTGTCTAGGTATTCTAAAATTCTATAGACCATGTATGTGTCATGGGTCCAACTGGCCGACAGACGATGGACACACTCCACATGGACCAGTACTGTGTCCAACACCTCCAAGGACAGCTTGGTAGTGTCTGTAACACACAATATTGTCTAGGTATTCTAAGATTCTATAGACCATGTATGTGTCATGGGTCCAACTGGCCGACAGACGATGGACACACTCCACATGGACCAGTACTGTGTCCAACACCTCCGAGGACAGCTTGGTAGTGTCTGTAACACACAATATTGTCTAGGTATTCTAAGATTCTATAGCCCATGTATGTGTCATGGGTCCAACTGGCCGAAAGACGATGGACACACTCCACATGGACCAGTACTGTGTCCAACACCTCCGAGGACAGCTTGGTAGTGTCTGTAACACACAATATTGTCTAGGTATCCTAAGATTCTATAGACCATGTATGTGTCATGGGTCCAACTGGCCGACAGACGATGGACACACTCCACATGGACCAGTACTGTGTCCAACACCTCCGAGGACAGCTTGGTAGTGTCTGTAACACACAATATTGTCTAGGTATTCTTAGATTCTATAGCCCATGTATGTGTCATGGGTCCAACTGGCCGACAGACGATGGACACACTCCACATGGACCAGTACTGTGTCCAACACCTCCGAGGACAGCTTGGTAGTGTCTGTAACACACAATATTGTCTAGGTATTTTAAGATTCTATAGACCATGTATGTGTCATGGGTCCAACTGGCCGACAGACGATGGAGACACTCCACATGGACCAGTACTGTGTCCAACACCTCCGAGGACAGCTTGGTAGTGTCTGTAACACACAATATTGTCTAGGTATTCTAAGATTTTATAAACACAATTCTGCAAAGTTCAATTGAACACATAGCACAGTGAATTTACATTATTGGATTTCTTTTTTCTTTTTCAGATAACTCACTTGTGTTTTGGATTCATTAAAATTGATTAAAATATTTGGACACTTTTTTTTTTAATTTAAACTCTTTATATTTAGACATTATACTTATATAGACACTTAAACCCTAAATCACACTTCTGAACTGAACATTAGATAAAACCGGACCGCCAAGATCTTCTGATGGCAAGAGGTTCCTAAATTATGATGTCATGGCTGTCCACCCCTCACTCAGGGTGGAATGGGCAAAGATCACTTCAACTTTGGAGCCCTTAGTACCCACCATGTCATCACACCAGTGAAACATACCATTTAACACCTCGAACCCTACCATTTGTAATTTTCCTACTGTGTATGTTGGAGTATGAGATCTACAACTGTTTGTTGTATTACCATTAGTTGGTGCCAAGTAGTCTGTGATCTGGAAGTCCACCCGGAAGGCCAAGGCGTATGTCTGTATCAAGCCCTGGACAGCTTCTCGTATCCTCTCACAGTGTCCTGAGATGGTTTCAGATGCCATCTCTCCTGGGAACAACACTACCGAGTAGTCTCCGTCCTCATCTACAATCTCTGGCCGCCTCCAACTCTCCTCCTGCAAATGAGTTAACATGAGGAAAGTTTAAAGTACTGAAAATAATTCAGCTGTCAGTTTTAAATGTCTTTGCCTTCCATCACTGACTGCCAAGTCATTTAGCAAAGTTAATCTATTTTTGGTTAAATCAGACCATCAACGTTTGAAATCAGTATTGCCACTACCACTTGTAGAGTAAATGTAATTCTAGATAATGTAAATCATCAACACTCAATTACAAAGAAGTAGACAACCGAGAAAAAAGATACTGTAATGGTTGTATGATGGTCGCAACTGTGAAGATTACAATATACAGCACAATAGCCTTAGTTAACTCCTACTAATGAAGAATTGGTGTAACACAAACCTTCTTTTAACTTTCAATACTTAAAAATTGTCTGGTACATCCGAGTGGTTGCTCACCTTAAAATCTGAAGATTACTAGTTGATATGTCATTGGGTTTTCAATTGGGGCTATCTAACAAAAGGACTTTGGAAAAGGTCTACAAAAAACCTTAAAAATTCTGATGGTGTAGGAAAATACTAAACAAATACTAAGAGAAGTTGATGTTTACAAGGATTTCATTCTTACTAACTCTTTTACTAGAGGAATAGTGTAATAATGATATGTAGTGATGGGTTAATTCTAGAAATGTTAAATTCTGATTCCGGTTATAATTATTTGAAATCGGTTCTCAATTCCATTGATTCCATTATGTTAAAAATAGTTTATAGTGCTAAAACTATTACTTTTCACTAGTGATTTAACGATACCAAAACATACTGACTCTTGATACCAATAAAATGTTGTTTACTTTTATCAAATTGTCTGAATGGATTGATTTATACTACACAACACCAAAATAAATTAAAATGAATGCAGCAATAAAAAATTCTAACCAGCCAATTGCAATTTCTGATCATCTCCCGTGGTCGTGTTGACATTGCTGTCATCTCCCGCGATCTTGGCAAAATCATTAACATCTCTCATGGTCGCGTGGACATTATGGTAGTCTTCCGCGATCGTGGCAAAATTCTGATCATCCCCCGCGGCTATGTAGACATCATCATTGTTTCCCGCGGTCACAGAAACGTTTTTGTCGTCTTGCGCAATCGCGATAATTTTCTGGTCGCGTGAACTTCGCAGAAGGAATTGATTTTGAGTGGTCGATTTTCAATTCCGATTCCAAAGCCAAGTATCGGTGGAATCGAGAATCGACCTTTGGTGTCGACCCATCCCTCGTAATATGTAAATTAAAACATTGAAGGCTAGGTAGATGTTACCTGAGGAGTCTGACTGAGTTGGCCACAAGCACGATTGAACGCCTCCAGAGCTTGTGTGATGGCCAATGTCTCCACACTACCTAGTAGAGCACACACAGCCTTGACAGCCTGAGTCACCTTATGTGGCTGGACACTGCCTTCTCCTGCAGCCTCAACTCTCTCCATCTCTCTCTCTAGAGTCTCTGAACAAGTGACAAAACTATAGAAACACTCAAAATCAAGAAGGCAGGGAGAGGGGAGGGATAGCAACTCCTTAGAAAGAAACTAGTGATGGTCGGATCCAGATATTGGCCTACCGGATCCGCCGGATCCGAGCTAAAACCGGCACCGGATCGGGTCCAAAAAATTCCGGATCTTGGGCTGGAACCGGTTTTGATGGATCCGATTTTTTCAAATTTTTTCCCGATTTTTTCCTAAAACAAAGCTGTCTGTATCACTGTACAACCCCGATTTTTTTACTAACACAAAGCAGTCTGTATCACTGTACAACCCCGATTTGTTTACTAACACAAAGCTGTGTGTATCACTGTACAACCCCGTTTTTTTACTAACACAAAGCTGTCTGTATCACTGTAGAACCCTGATTTTTTACTAACACAAAGCTGTCTATATCACTGTACAACCCCGATTTGTTTACTAACATAAGCTGTCTGTATCACTGTACAACCGCAATTTTTTTACTAACACAAAGCTGTCTGTATCCATGTACAAGATGACCGTTTTTTCCCCGAGTGTTTGTCTCTTGATGCAAATAACATATATGGCAATGCCATGTCTCGATGTTTGTATCTAGATGCATATAACTTGTAAAGCAAGGCCATGTTTCATTGTTTGTCTCTTATTGCAAATAACTTATATGGCAAGGCAATGACTCAGTGTTTGTCTTTTTATGCAAAGAACTTATATGGCAAGGTCATGACTCAGTGTTTGTCTCTTGATGCAAATAACTTATATGGCAAGGACATGTTTCATTGTTTGTCTCTTGTTGCAAATAGCTTATATGGCAAGGCAATTACTCAGTGTTTGTCTTTTGATGCAAATAACATATATGGCAAGGCCATGTCTCAGTGTTTGTCTCTTGATGCAAATAACTTATATGGCAGGGCCATGTCTCAGTGTTTGTCTCTTGATGCTAATAACTTATAAGGCAAGGCCATGTCTCAGTGTTTGTCTCTTCATGCAAATAACTTATATGGCAAGGCCATGTCTCATTGTTTGTCTCGAGATGCAAATAACTTATATGGCAGGGCCAAGTCTCAGTGATTGTCTCTTGATGCTAATAACTTATATGGCAAGGCCATGTCTCAGTGTTTGTCTCTCGTTGCAATTAACTTATATGGCAAAGACATGACTCAGTGTTTGTCTTTTGATGCAAATAACTTATATGGCAAGACCATGACTCAGTGTTTGTCTTTTGATGCAAATAACTTATATGGCAAGGCCATGTTTCATTGTTTGTCTCTTGTTGCAAATAACTTATATGGCAAGGCCATGTCTCAGTGTTTATCTCGAGATGCAAATAACTTATATGGCAGGGCCATGTCTCAGGGTTTGTCTCTTGATGCAAATAACTAATATGGCAAGGCCATGTCTCATTGTTTGTCTCTTGATGCAAATAACTTATATGACAAGGACATGTTTCATTGTTTGCCTCTTGATGCAAATAACTTATATGGCAAGGCAATGACTCAGTGTTTGTCTTTTGATGCAAATAACTTATATGGCAAGGCCGTGTCTCAGTGTTTGTCTCTTGATGCAAATAACTTATATGGCAAGGCTATGTCTCAGTGTTTGTCTTTTTGTGCAAATAACTTATATGGCAAGACCATGACTCAGTGTTTGTCTTTTGATGCAAATAACTTATATGGCAAGGCTATGTCTCAGTGTTTGTCTTTTTGTGCAAATAACTTATATGGCAAGACTCAGTGTTTGTCTCTTGTTGCAAATAACTTATATGGCAAGGCAATTACTCAGTGTTTGTCTTTTGATGCAAATAACATATATGGCAAGGCCATGTCTCAGTGTTTGTCTCGAGATGCAAATAACTTATATGGCAGGGCCATGTCTCAGTGTTTGTCTCTTGATGCTAATAACTTATATGGCAAGGCCATGTCTCATTGTTTGCCTCTTGATGCAAATAACTTATATGGCAAGGCCATGTCTCAGTGTTTGTCTCTTGATGCAATTAACTTATATGGCAAGGCCATGTCTCATTGTTTGCCTCTTGATGCAAATAACTTATATGGCAAGGCCATGTCTCAGTGTTTGTCTCTCGTTGCAATTAACTTATATGGCAAAGACATGACTCAGTGTTTGTCTTTTGATGCAAATAACTTATGTGGCAAGGCCATGTCTCATTGTTTGTCTCGAGATGCAAATAACTTATATGGCAGGGCCAAGTCTCAGTGATTGTCTCTTGATGCTAATAACTTATATGGCAAGGCCATGTCTCAGTGTTTGTCTCTCGTTGCAATTAACTTATATGGCAAAGACATGACTCAGTGTTTGTCTTTTGATGCAAATAACTTATGTGGCAAGGCTATGTCTCAGTGTTTGTCTCTTGATTGCAAATAACATATATGGCAATGGCATGTATCTTTCCGAACTGAATCCGACCCGATATATGGCAAGGCCATGTCTCAGTGTTTGTCTCTTGCTGCAAATAACTTATATGGCAGGACCATGACTCAGTGTTTGTCTTTTGATGCAAATAACTTATATGGCACGGCGATGTCTCAGTGTTTGTCTTTTGATGCAAATAACTTATATGGCAAGGCCATGTCTCAGTGTTTGTCTCTTGATGCAAATAACTTATATGGCAAAGCTATGTCTCAGTGTTTGTCTTTTTGTGCAAATAAATTATATGGCAAGGCCATGTCTCAGACTCAGGGTTCGTCTCTTGATGCAAATAACATATATGGCAAGGCCATGTCTCAGTGTTTGTCTCTTGATGCAAATAACATATATGGCAATGGCATGTATCTTTCCGAACCGAATCCGACCCGATTTTTCGGATATCTGCACACCTCTAGTTTTTAGTTTTGTACCTAGCTATCAGTACTGTGGACCTGGAACGAATTTAAGGAAGAGATTAACAAGAGGTGATCCAGGCATAAATAAATTGGATGCTGTATGCAAAAACCACGATATAGCATACTGAAGATCGAACTATTGTAAAATATACACAGATACCCTTTTGGTGGTCGTGCAAACTTAGTGCATTTTATGATTTTGTTAGTGTCCCCAAAAAATGAGGGATTATGGGCTCAACTGGAGATTACTCTATATATAAGATATATTAACCTTTAAACATAACCAATTTAATTTTAAACCGTATGATTTAAATTGGCATTCTGTTAGTTACGTTTTTTTAACCCGCCCTTATGACAGTGTGTATCTGGATCCGGATCCGAAGATCCGGATCTGGATCCGGTACCGACATTTTCTTGGATCCGCCCATCACTAGAAAGAACATTGGACCGAGATGGAGATTTTAAAACACGTTTACTAAATCCAACAGGCAACAGGTATACAAAGATCAAGACATAGAAGGAGGGGTTATTACATTGGGCCGAAAACATTTTGAAGAAAGGAGAAAACTCTTTTTTTTCAGGCCAAGCTCAGGTCACATTTAGCCAACCATTTATTTTTTCAAGCGCAGAAAGCATCTGCAATGTGTCTTTATTAACGATTCCGTTACGATTGCGAGAAGATGTTTACAATTTCTCCGTGACCTCGAAAGTTATTCTTGATGTTACTGCAACTGCCATGTCCGCAGAAGACCTTCACGATTTTGCCAAGACCACAAGAATATGTTCAGAATTTCACAGTCGTGGCAAAATTGTTCACTTTTTTTACCGTTTAATTTTTAATTTTTACTTTTCACCTCTTCCTAACTACACGTTCTATTTCAAAATGTCGTTAATTTTAATTTTCTATAGATTTTTTGACATTATCTCTTTCTTTCTTGATAACGTTTATTTATTAAACAAAATTCACAGTAATTCAAGATCTATTAATTATTGCTATGCAAATCTCCAAGATGAATAGGCCATTTACACTTTTCTCTTGTAAACACACCATTTCTGATTTGTTATTGTATAGATGCTATTTAATTTAGCTTTAGAGGAAGCACTACAAGAAGTAAGGCAAACAGAAGCTGGAATTACAATAGGGACCAAAATAAACATCCTTGCGTTTGCAGATGATGTTGCAATTATAGCGGAGAGTAAAGAAGAGTTGAAAATGCTGGTCACAAAACTCTTAAACCATACAAAGAAAGTTGGTTTAAGAATAAATGAAGGGAAAACAAAAATAATGGAGTGTGGGAGAGCAACCCAAATAAACAATGACAACAATATAGAAATAGAAGGGTACAACTTTAAAAAAGTAAACAACTTCACTTATTTGGGAGTAATGCTGACGAATAATAATGAAGAAGATATGGAAATACAACAAAGAATAAATGCAGCACACAGAAGTTTATCAGCATCCCACAAACTATTAAGCTCTCGAATACTATCACACAAAACAAAACTCCGTATATATAAAACCATTATAAGACCAGTTCTTTTATACGGCTCAGAAAATTGGGTGTTAAGTAAAAAAACAGAAAAACGTTTGATAGTATTTGAGAACAAAATATTGAGAAAAATATATGGTCCAACCTTTGAAGATGGAGAGTGGAGGATAAAACACAATGCAGAGTTGAGGCAATTATATATGGACCCAGACATAGTGGCCGAGGTGAGAGGTAGGAGAATGAGATGGGCTGGCCATCTACTAAGGAAAGAGGACGACTCCTTAGTCAAAAACGTCCTTTTGAACAATCCGGAGGGCAGAAGACCACCAGGAAGGCCCAAGTTAAGATGGCGAGACCAGGTTAGAAAAGACCTAAGAAGACTGGGAAGAAGGGAAGATGAGGCAATGGATAGAAAAATCTGGAGGCAGTGTGTTGGCGAGGCAAAGTACCACCTTGGGTACCAAGAGCCACGGCAGTAAGTAAGTAAGTATAGAATCATAACTGTATTCTTGTCAATCAGCTGTGTTTAGGTGTTACTAACTTCATTAAATAAAACTGGATTAAATACCCTTACAAACAAGGGATACAAGTTAAGTGTTGCTCTAATGGTTTTCGTACAGCAAAGCTATTAAATCAGGCCAAGACTTTATGGACACCCCGTACTTTAAAATTTGTAAAATTACAGGTTTTATATGTTTATCTCACATTGTCAAACAAGTTTCCAGAAACAGCTATACCTACTGAGTACAGCTGTTCAATATGGCATCACACCTGACGTCAAAACAACAGTGGGCACTCTAAGTGGCCTATTGACCGCAACATATCATGATTGTGCAATAGCCTACTAATTGTGTTTTGCAAATTATCTAATTAACTATACAGCTCGATGTGTAACTCACTCACGGGGGATACAAATGTTTACCAATTTCCAGAATAGCTAGAGGTATAAGGCGTTTTTAATTGGTTTGTAATATATGTTTGTCATGTTAGGTTAATCGTGAGCCCTGGATTATCGAGGTTCTATTGTTGTATATAGCTTCAAATACATGTTACCAGTTTCAATATCTTGCTTAGCAACATATTTGTGAAAAGTGTGATTTAAGTTAATACTATTTTGATAACATTTATAGTAATTTTAAAACCAAACACATACAGTAGTTGAATACAGTATAGAGCTTGAATCCTCACCAAGAAGAATTTGAAGGGTTTCACGAGATATTGGTTGCACTGGTTCCTTAGGTAAGAGATCTTCGAGAGTTAAATCTTTATCTCTCTCATCATCTTGAGGCTAGAAATAACAACAAATAAGAAACTATACAGTTGCAACTAATAAAAAGTGTAATGTTTAAAAATATGGGAGGCTGTACAACATTGTTTTTTTAATGTCCAAGGTCCAAAAAACTATACCAGAATTTACTAGGACAATTTTCTACCTGGAGCCTGGGCACAACTTTTTTTACAACTAAATAAGATCTCTATAACAGAAGTAAATAAAATAATAATACATAACTAGTGATTGTCATAAAAAACCATAAAATTCAGTGAGGCTCTAGAGGAAGCCCTACAAGCAGTAAAAAACTCACCCTTAGGACTAAAACTAGGGACAAATATTAATATATTGGCTTTTGCGGATGACGTAGTACTGACAGAAAAGAAAGAGAATATAAGGGTTTCAACAGACATGAAACTGAATAAGTAGGACTAAAGATAAACGACATGAAAACTAAATTTATGAGAGTAGCAAGGGAAGAAGATGAAAATATTGCCAATTTTCTCAAAATTAACAACCATGAACTCCAAAGAGTTTAATTTCAGATATTTCGGCATTGTACTATCTTATAGAAATACAGAACACTTAGAAATTCAGAATAGGATAAATGAAGCAAATAAAAGTTGGTATGCATGTGGAAAACTAATTATATTGAAGCTTTTATCAAGGAGAACAAAAATTATAATCTGCAAAACAATAATTAGACCGGTACTTTTGTATAGAGGGGAAATTGGATTCTGAGCAAAAAGATGGAAAAGAAGATTACAACCTTTGAGAATAAAGTTCTAAGAGCTATACATGGTCCTGTGTGTGAAGATGGAGTATGAAGAATCCGCCACAACCAAGAGTTAAGAGAATCATTCCGAGACCCCAATATTGTAGGAGAGGCCAAAAGCAGAAGGCCAAGGTGTGTTGGCCATATCTTGAGGAGAAATGAGGAGAGCTTGTTGAAGAAGGTACTAAGGGGAGATCTGAGGAGAAGGAGACCGGTAGGAGGACCAGAGGCCAGGTGGTGGGATCAAGTCCTGAAGGATGTGGATAAGATGAGTAGGGGTGGGCGAGTACTCGACCTTCGAGTAATTACTCGAGTTTTTTCAAATACTCGACCTCGAGTCGAGTAGTAATTACTACTCAAAAATTCGAGTCGAGTAGTTATAAATAGTGCCACTTCACGATTTTCTACACCCATATTTAATAAATTATATTTTGTTTTGTGTTGATGCCTTATTTAATCCCAATTCCTACAAAAAACAACTATCTAACCTCATATAGGTTAGACCAGCGTAAACCAAATGTTCAACAAACAACCATCGTCATTCGGCAGAGCTAGCAAGAGGGTTACTAAACTTTCCTACAACAGTCAACAATACGTCTCGATAACGATACTGTAAGTTGAAATAAAGCATTGAATGAATCTATCGAATTGCAATAGTCGATAGTCAATAAGGGAGTCCCGTGACTAGTATAACAATGGCAGACGATTCTTGAAGATATTATAAAGTACTGTATCAGATTTAGTTTGAACTGCCATAAAAATATTTTATACCAAAATATAGAAATAACAAAATATTTTATACCAAAATATAGAAATAAAATAAATAAAAATAACCTGTTGTAGCATAATAATTTTTCACATTAATCGGTATTGGTGTTTAGTTTTACAAACCGATAAGTTACTGCAAGGAACATCGATGCATCTGAATGACGCAATCTCATTGGGTCTTGGCCTTCTTCTGATTAGAAAAGATCAGTTCCACTTTAAACTCAGTGTTGCCAGATGGACGATAATTGTTGTACTTTTACAACTGTGGTATTGGCGTAAACAAACTATAAGTTTAATTTATTTTCTAATCAGTTTACATAAACATGATTAAAATTAGTCAAACTATTAATTGTTTTACGAAATAAAAGCTATAGAAATTTTATGATAATTTTACTGACATTCACCATAATGGTGTAATGATAAATATGGCAACGTCAGCCCTGCAAAACAGCTGTTTGATGGGAAAACAAAGCAGAAGTAGAATGAGCAAACTGACTAAGAGAGAGAGAGAGAGAGAGCAGATATGGTGACAGCTGGCGTAACAAAACAACAAAACAATGGATTGGAGTGATTGAAGTTATGTCAATGTCAGTTTTGAATGTTTTTACTTTGAAGTGAATTTGTAACTTAAAATAAAATTGATTTTGTTAGTGGAAGTTTAATAGAAGATAAAATAAACAAATTTTGTTTGTGATTTTGATTGTGCAATTTTCAATCTGGTGGCAGAAACATGACAACGACAGTTTGAATTGTAACCTAGAAAATGTGAGTTTATAAAGAAAGGCCAAATAGGCTATACCGGGCTACAGTGAAATGTGTTTTATTTTAAATTAAGTGTTTAATGTGGGATTTTATTTCGAGATAATAGGCCTACTATGTTTTTGTTTGATATTTTCAGTCTGTCAGAGACAAGTGACTTAATCATTTTTATAAATTTACTATATATATTGAGTGAAGAGGATAGCCCTAGTACCCATAATCTTCAAACGTAAGACAGATGAAGTGCTTATCTAAGTGATTATTTTTAAAAATCTAATTGCATATATTGATGTTTTTAACTTGTGATACAATATGTAGTTTGATATTAGTTTTGCTTTCTGTTTTATAAATAAATTAATTTTTATAAACTCTGTTTCTTATTTGAATTGAAATTATTCTTAAAGTTACCTTATTAAGTTAGTTAGTTAGGTTGATTATCATGTTAGTGAGGAGGAATTAAAGGCAAGAAAAAATAAAACGCACTAGAACAAGTGATGTGTAGGCCTAAATAATTTAATGCTGCAGCCAACAAGTAGTCTAGGCCAAATTTTTTATTAGGCCTAAGGTAGGAGGTACTAATAATTAGTAACCATATAACTTAGAAAATTTGGTATAAGTACTTAAACTACCTATTTAGGCCTAGGCAGGGTTTATGCTAGGATGAAATTTGTTTCAGCAAAATGCTGCAAACTCTCTGCAAAGACAAAAACTAAGTTAACTGTAGAAAAAATATTATTCAATAACTTAAGCATTTAAAACAAAAAAATCTAGTAGGCTAATATTACATTTGTTTGAACATTACATCTTTCAATTTTATTTGTAGAAAATTTGCCATAGGCCTAGCCTGCAAAACAATGTAAACTTAGGATTATTAAATTGTGAATAGCAAGATGCTACAAATACTACCGCAGCTTAAACCCTGGGTCTAGGCCTACTTAACGCGCAACTACTCGACTCTCGACTCGATACTCGAGTTTTTACTCAAATACTCGACTTGACTCGACTCGAATTGAAAAATCACTACTCGCCCACCCCTAAAGACGAGACTAGTAGAGGAAGATTTGGAGGACCGAGAGAACTGGTGACGACGTGTTGGCGAGGCCAAGTACCAGCTTGGGTATAAGTGGCCATGGCAGTAAGCAGTAAATAATAAATTTTAAGATTCTTTGAAAAAAAAAATTCTACCCACAATAATTGTGGTATAATAATAACAAATTATTTGATTATTTGTTACGTTAATCAACAATATTAAGCAGTATGCTCCTTAATCTGGTCTCCGATAATGCGGACGTCGAGCTAACTCAAACAGCCTAAAATGAAAGTACACTAAAATAAGTATTACACAGCTTAAATTTGCTATCTGCAAAACTAAATACTTTCTTTTAAATAAAAACCTGTTTGTCCTTGGCTATTTTTGGCAAGAAGAGATAGCTTAATCAAGTGTTAGGAGCTCATAATCTATAAATACTTTAATCTTATTTCCAGGAAATGATTCATTTCACCAGCTTACCATGCTACAGTATATCTGTTTGAATAGACTGTGTGTCTAATGGTGACATCTTTTATATTTGTTATATATTTCTTTCTCCAATCTGGTATTGATGAAGTTTTTGTAAAAAAAGAATTTTTAAAATTTAGTTATGTTATCAACACATTTCTGAACTAGGTTTGTACACAAAATAAAGTTACTTGTAGCGTGTGCTGCGTGTGAAGTTTAGAAATGAGTTTTGTTAATCATTAAGACGTTAAAGTATTTATTTTAGGCGTGCAAAATTACTATTACCTTCTGTACAATTAAATTACGGCTTAATCATGAGCATCTACTTTTTGCTGATCATTGTGACTTTTAAGGCTTTTTTTAGGTTTAATCTAGATTTTTACTGATCCACACAGAATGTGTTCCCATTACTGATTAGCAAGACCATACTGGACTGAGAAATAATTGAATGCAACAAATATACAAACCGTTCTAGCCAGAGGACGAGGCAAGTGGTCTACATGGACTAAGACCAGCCGGATATCCTGCTCTAGTTTGATACACTGGTGGACATACTCGTAGTCTGCTAGTTGTGTATGGGTCGTTAGATACTCTGCTAGACCCCACACCTGTAAACAACAACACATCAGGATACTCATAGCCTGCTAGCTGTGTGTGGGTGGTCAGATACTCTGCTAGACGCCACACCTGTAAACAACAACACTTCAGGATACTCATAGTCTGCTAGTTGTGTATGGGTCGTCAGATACTCTGCTAGACCCCACACCTGTAAACAACAACACTTCAGGACATACTCATAGTCTGCTAGTTGTGTATGGGTCGTCAGATACTCTGCTAGACCCCACACCTGTAAACAACAACACTTCAGGACATACTCATAGTCTGCTAGTTGTGTATGGGTCGTCAGATACTCCGCTAGACCCCACACCTGTAAACAACAACACTTTAGGATACTTATAGTCTGCTAGCTGTGTGTGGGTGGTCAGATACTCTGCTAGACGCCACACCTGTAAACAACAACACTTCAGGATACTCATAGTCTGCTAGTTGTGTATGGGTCGTTAGATACTCTGCTAGACCCCACACCTGTAAACAACAACACTTCAGGATACTCATAGTCTGCTAGTTGTGTATGGGTCGTCAGATACTCTGCTAGACCCAACTCCTGTAAACAACAACACTTCAGGATACTCATAGTCTGCTAGTTGTGTATGGGTCATTAGATACTCTGCTAGACCCCACACCTGTAAACAACAACACTTCAGGATACTCATAGTCTGCTAGTTGTGTATGGGTCGTTAGATACTCTGCTAGACCCCACACCTGTAAACAACAACACTTCAGGATACTCATAGTCTGCTAGTTGTGTATGGGTCGTTAGATACTCTGCTAGACCCCACACCTGTAAACAACAACACTTCAGGATACTCATAGTCTGCTAGTTGTGTATGGGTCGTCAGATACTCTGCTAGACCCCACACCTGTAAACAACAACACTTCAGAACATACTCGTAGTCACATTGATAATCAAGAATATATGATATGTATAACCAAGAATGATGAGTGTGAACCAAGAGAGGTAGTGTGCAGTGATTAGGAAAAAAATGTCAGAACCAATGATCATGATCAAAATTCCAATAGTAAACCTAATATTTAGTGATGAACTGGTAATTAAAACTAATTATAACAATCAGTAAAAACCAGTCTTTTAGTTCTTACAGAACTTTAGAACACTTTCCTCATTCCTCAAATATCAAAGAGTGTTGTTCAAGATTTTGTGGTGGTAATATTGGATACGAAATATATATTTATGTTAATTTAGGATAAGTTAGATTAGTTAAAACCAGTCAGTGTACAAACCTGTGCCTCAAGATTATAGAACAAATTTATTTGATAGCCTACCACAAATCTTGTTCCAGGTGGGTCATGAAAATCCTATTCAAAAACCATAAAATCAAAAACTTTGTTACCATCTCGCATTAAGATGATGATGTTCCCATGATTGAGGGAGGTGTTCATTATTTTTCCGTGTTTGTAGTTGGATGATGATATGTCCACATAATTGCAGTGATATTTACAATTTTGCCTCAATTTTAGGTGAAGACAATGATGTCAACCTGCTCGAGGAGGTGCTGGAGGAGGTCGTGGTTTTGCTGTGATTACAGGGTAGTGTCACCTAGCGGTGGGGGCCGCAAGCACCCTAATACGGCAGCGACGGTCGGACACTAAGTGGAGTCGGTTATGAGGGGTTCTACTGCACAACAAAATATTACGATAAATGTCAGAAGATTTTGATTTTTTAGAGTCTTGATTAACAGGTAAAATGTTTTCAGTTGAGTACACTAACCTTGAGGACATAGTCCGTAGGCGACCCTGCATCCAGCAAGCCACAGATGATTTGTTCCATGACCAGGTCGATGCTGCAGCTCACTACAAAGAATCACACATTTTTGGTAACATTATGTTATGTCTTGTATCTTGAATTGATCATACAAAAATTCTAGTTTCAATTACTACAATAATTATCGCATTGTCCATGTTTTACACTCAAATCTATAAAAAAAACTTTTTTATAACAGGATTTGACAAAAAGTGGAAATAAAAATAAATAGGATAATATATCAAAGTGTGTTTGCATGCTGAACAATTGTAACTTGTATATCCCTAATATGCTAAGCTTGAAATATGTACCCACCAGAATCTGAGGCTCATGTTAACAAGAGAAACAAGGATATGTAGTTTCCTAGTGGCATAAGAACTAGCTTACACAGAAGTAAATTTCACATGCAAAATCTAATGGAGACTTAAATAGCTTTTAAAAAAGTTAAAAGCTAAATTATCAATTTAGTTCACAAACCAAAATATTTTATTTAAAATTTATTCGAAGCCCCTTTATGTTAATTTAGAACAAACAATATTTTTGTTAAATCAATTTACCCAAATCTGTTTTGGTGATCACTCCTACAAAAGTAGTTTTTGGAGTAATATATTTTAGTCAATATCTATTTTACATTAATGGCTTGCCCTTAAATTCCGCAAAATAACCTAAATGTTACAATTTATAAGGATTCTCGTTAAAACTTTGTGGTTTATAGGACTTCAAATTGTATTACCAATTGACTGGATTTACAGTGTTTAACCTAAGCCAAAGTTGTGTTAGGCCTACCATCACTGGTGAAGGTGAGAGGTTGTTCCTTGTCAGGACAGTGAATGGTCAGCTTGACACTTGTACCTTGTAGATAGGAACTCTCAATCAAAGGGCTGATAACCAGGCCAACGTTGGTGTACGGGTCAGAGTGGACAAACTCAGCTGTAAAATAACAAGGACGTTAACACCACTAAAAATGAACTTTAAACAAAAAGTTACCCAAACGTAAGTTTTATAGCTTTGCTACAGTATGAAACTGGTTTATTGTTTAAGCAATATTGTTAATTGAAAGCCTATACTGATCAATAACCAAGTACAGTAATGGATCAAAACTGGTGACTTCTGTGAGGTAAATGAGTATCAGTATTATAACCGCTTGGTAATTATATCATAACCACTTGGTAATGATATAATATCTTGAGTATCATACTTAACTAAATCACATAACTGCCAAAGAGGTTTTTAACTAGCAATTACCAAATGGTGAACCGAACAAATAATGTGCATAGTAGAACAATGTTGTAGCAATCTGCATAGCTAATATCCAGAGCTTTAATGAATTTTTACCACAAAAGGTTAATAAAAATAGCAATTTCACATGAACATAACACTACGCTTAATGAGTACTTACATAATAAATAAATAAATAAAATAAATTAGTTGTGTTAGTATAGTTTGGGAAATTCACTGAGATGCTAAATAGATTTCAAATCAATCAATGTTAGACTATCTTTTTCTTAATATAGACTTTGTAAAAATAACTGTTCGTTGAGAAAATGCTTTTTAACATTAAGACTGAAATACATCGATTGATACCAATACTTCATTTAGTACCAAACATTTTGGAGATTTCTTACAAGTAGGAAAATGGCAGAAAGGATCATATCTAAAACATGTTACTAAAAGCCGCTCTTAGGAGAATATACACAGTGTTATATGAACTCATAAGTAGATGTTTACCTCTAAGAGCCTTGACCATGGTGTGGAATGCTACGAGGTCTGGGTCTGTGAGGACGGGCTTGTGCTTCTCCACCAACACACTGTCGTATAACTTGCTCTGTCGATGGGACTGAAACAGAGTCATTCATCATGGTAAAAACCAAACCTAAAATCCAAAGTAACCCTCTTATTTTCTGTAAAAACAAAAACCACTCCTAACTATTATTAACTTAATTTGACATTATTTTGTATAGATAGCTTTTTCCAGATTTAAAGGATTTTGTGGTGGAAAGGTTGAATAGCTCAACTTCCTGACAACAATAGTTAGTTCCAATAAACACATGAAACATACAATTTTACTAGCTCCTTCTTCAGTCGTAGAGTCTTTGTACAAGGACAAAGATTTGATTTTACAACATAAAAAGGAACAAGTAGTTTTGAAAATGCAATGTTTCATGTGTTTTTTGTACTTTCAAATATTTTTATCAGTAAGGTTAACCTAAGATTATTGTTTTAAACCTATTTAAAAACTTTTAATCGATTTTCTTCACTGTTTATTACATAATCACAAGAAGACGGCAAAATTGCCAAGTTTGTGCAACTTGATCATCCGACTTCAGATTCCATTAGGTGTCCTGCCTTAACCAAATGCACGGGGAGTGAGGGCAAATGGCTAGTATGGCTAAATGTGACATTGACTCACAAATCCAACCAATTAAATCTTGAATTCAAATATTTTCTTAGGACTGGGGGATTATAGATTTGACTTGGATCATTGACTATTGGATTAATAGTCAAAGCTTGGATACAGTAGGCCTAAAAGTGAATGTTTGCAGGATGCGGTATGTTTCCTTAGCTCATTGGCGGAGTTAGACGTAATTTGTTGGGGGGTGGGAATGAATTCTTCAATTTTCACTGGGGGTCCGGGGTCCTCCCTCCCTTCGAAAATTATTTAAAAAGCTTTGAAGCCCATGAAATTGTAGGAGTGACCCTGTTGGATCTCAGCAAGGCTTTTGATCTAATTTCTCATAGCGTTCTTTTAAATGAAGCTTCAATATAATGGAATAAATAATGAACAGTTAATTTTTGTTCAAAACAAACCTTTGTGGTGGGTTACGTATGGTGTCTGTTGGGAACTGCTCGTCTTCTTTTGAAGAGGTTCTTGCTGGGGTCCCACAGGGTGTAGTCCTGGGCCCTTTGTTATTTATATTGTACATAAATGACCTACCTACCTGTTAGTTTAGATTGTGATAACATACTATAAGCGGACGACACATCTGTGCTAGTAAATGGGAATTGTTTGATGATGTGATAAACCAAATTAATAGAGCAACTGTCTTTGCCAATCTGTGGCTCCATTCTAACTATTTAAAGATAAATGAAAGTAAAACTGAAAGGATAATATTTACTTTGAGACAAATTGAACAATATAACATGGCTAAGTCACTCAAGCTTCTTGGTGTTACTCTTTACCAAAAACTACTATGGGAGGAACATGGTCAACAACTTAGCTAATCGATTATCTAGGGTTTGTTTTTATTGAGAAAACTTAAGACTTGTGTAAGTCAAGAGCTAATGGAAACTTTTTATTTCAGATTCTTCCATTCACATTTGTTAGCCTATATGCTAATATTTTGTGGGGAGGTAGTGCTGGAGCAGATAGTTTTTTTTGTGTGGTAAAAGAGAGCAATAAGAATATTGTTTGGTTTAGAGTTTAGTGATAGCGCTAGGAGTCATTTCTCTGCACATAATATTATGACTGTTCCCATGCAATTTTATTTTTCAGAATTAAATTTATATCCAGGAAAATATTACAGACTTTAATGTTTTAGTGACGTTCATAATTATCAAACAAGAAATTCCAACAAATTAGTTTTACCAATCCCAAGACTAGAAAAGTAAGCAAAGAGTCACAAATACCAACAAATAAAATTTTGTAACACAATTCCAGAATCATTTAAGTTGTTAAATTTAAAACCATTTTTAAATAAGATTCATGATTGGCTTACTACATGCATTTTATTCAATAAAGGATTTTTTATAATGTGATATATATTGTAAACTAAGTGTTGGGTCCTTTATTGACCATCTGTATTAGTATATCTTATGTTGTTGTTGTTGTAACTGTTTTTATTGTCTTGTTTATTTATTTTGTTTTTACTACTTTCAATTTATATTGATTTTACTTTATTATTATTATAATCTAGGTACTGTCTTTCAATGTACCTATACCTGATGAAGCCTATTGTAATCTTGTATTGCTTAATGGTGAATAAACTTCTTGATTCTTATACTCACCTTCCGCTCGGCACTAAGCTTAGCAGCAGTGTTGCGTGGTGGCAGGGGGGGAGGAGAGATGGGGGAAGCTTTGACTACAGCCGCGTAGATGGGGTCCGAGGCCTGACTGCCAGCTATGGAGGGTGGGGAGTACAAGTAGTCAAACGGGTCATACGGGTCGTAAACACTTCCAGAACATTCAGACTGGTCGTCTTCCCTCATATCTGGAACATCAACACCAACACCACTGACAAAACAAAACAATACTGTGCACTGCAATGGTTGCAACACCTTACATGCACAGATAAGATAGTACAAGTGACAGTCAACATATTGCTTAGGATAACGTAGTAAATGCTGATAGGAATAATACAGTACCTAGCACAACTTGTAATACTACTGTAGGAACATACAAATTACAATAACAGAACATTACAAAATGAAAGGACCATTATATTATCAAATACTTGTTGTAACACAAACATATTCCAGGTAGCTTTACCTGACTTTTGCAACAGGCTATGTATGGATTGAAAAGTCCCTTAAAACCACAGTAAAAATAGCTTTTATCTCCATTGTGATTCTAATTATGTATTTGTTTTAATCAATGACATGGCAATAGTATGAATAAAAATACCTAACACAGAATTGTACAGAATATTCAATCAGAAATGTCTCAATGAGCTTAGTAACATGCAATAAAACCAAATAAAAATTCTTATGAGCTAGTTCAATATATTTTTTTATTGGCATTTAATTATTTACTGTGGGTGGAAAAAAGCCCCGGGACAGTTTAATATTTTAAAAATAATCAAGATAGCCCTAAAAAACTTGGTACAAAGTTACTGGGCATCAAAATCATTTTCACACATTATTCAATTAAACACTATCTCCTCAGGGGGACATCCCGCTAGGTGACTGAAGAAAATCTTAAATGTAAGCATATGACTGGGAATGTAACGTCGTCCTGCAATCCAGCTACTTGGAGGCAGGGCCGTACCCAGCTTTGGCAGGCCCAAGAGTATCATAAAATTAGATTTGGTTTTTTAAACCTAGGAAGTTAAAAAAAAAAATAGTTTCCGACATAAGAAGTTTAACTTTTAAAAAGTTCAAATCTCTGTCATTTTGCCAATTATTAAACACATACTGTATATTTAATTTTATGCAAGACTAGTAATTTAGCTTATGTATCTAGTTTTATCAGACGTCAGGCGGTGTAAATTTCCATCTCAAACATTCATGACATACAGATGGAAATTAAGGTAGGTTTAGTCTTTATAAAACTACAAAATCTAAAACAATTTGAAAAATTTGTACAGTAGAACTCCAGTTATCCGAACTCCAATTATCCAAATTGCTTACATAAATAATAGGCCTATAAAAAAAACAATAAAACTGAAAACCACAGTAAATTGTACCATCCGTAAGTATGGTTATAAAGAAGGCAGAAGCTGTGATCGCGGCAAAATCGAAAACCTCTATTGCGATCGTTTTGACATTGTCATCGTCATATGACATGAGACTCACCAGTGTCCTCAGCCAGTGTGGACTGTGAGTAGGCCTGGGAGGAGGTGAGGAGCGGGTCAAAGGCCTCCAGTAGACTGACTCTTACACATCTGTCTCTCTGAGGTAGCTCAGAGTCGAACGGAGTCAGATCTATTAGGTTGCTGTTGTCCCTTTTCTCTACAGTCTTCAGAACATTCACACTGTTGTTGCAGCCTGCAAAATTACATCACAAAATAGTCTGGCACAATAAAGCTCACTGATAAAAAATCTTTTTGAATCTTTAACCTGTTCAAGGAGTTTACGAGGAACCTAGTTAATCAATACTTGTTAGGATTGCAGGAATGTAAGAAATTAATTGGTTACATCGTTGCAGTAGATTAGGGTAAGGAGAAGTAGCAGGCTGGCCAGATAAAGCTTACTCAATATAGCCATAGGATATAGTACAAGTAGTTACGCTTTTTAAGAGTGGACAAGAAATCCACAAAGTTAAGGCAAACATTTTTGATATGTCAAGAAAAATCTGAACATGGACTATACATTTTCTACATTAATGAATAATTTCTAGACATAGGGGTCTTACTGACACCATAGACTATTTTATTATGTAATCCTTTTTTGAGCAAAATTATTGCATGTTTTCTGGTAATATTTTTTATATTATAATATAGCACAAATCTTATAGTCTACTATATACGGCCTAAAATTATAGTGAAATATTTTGATCAACATTAACACATTAATCAACAAACTTTTCAGGGTACTATAAAAGCTGTATTTGAACCGTGGAAATCTTAACTGAAATTAATGAAACACTAATAAAAATAAACAATAAGTTAACAAATACAAACAAATATAAAATAATATAATAACTTAAACAAACAACAGCCGGCTCACCGGCTACGTAGCCGTCAGACGTAGCTGCGGTGTGAACAGTACACTGGCGACGTATTAATACACCGAATACGTCTGCAGACGTCTGGCTACGTTGGTGTGAACAGGCCTTAAGACTTGTGTGAGTCAGGAGCCAATGAAAACTTCTTATTTCAGTTTCTTCCATTCACGTTTAACAACATTTTGGGACTCAAAAGAAACAACAGAATAGGCCTGACTGAAATTCTAATTCTGATTGTTTCAGGTTATGCAGTAACTATACACCTGATATGATATGATGTGTTGTGAACCTTATCTTAACACAGACTACAGTAACACTTTTGGAGTTTGGATATCAGAAAACCGCTCATAACAACAAAAGGGCATCCTCGGATAGAAGTTCTAAATGTCAAGTAATTTTAATAAGCTACAGTTGAACTGTTGAAGCTAAACTCACCATTGTAGAGTGTAGTGGTGGTTGAGGTAGATCCAGATGACAGTGTTGGCACAGGAGTAGCTGTAGGTGTAGCTGTAGATGCAGACAGGTCAAAGCTGTACATGTAGGGGTTGACAGCATGATGCCCACTAGAGGGGTGCGGAGACATGAAGAACCCTGGGGGAGGAGCTGCAGGGAAGGTAGACGTAGTGGAAAGTGGTGTAATACCACTCAGCTCTGAGCCCAGGTTGGTCAAGTCAAAACCTATGTCTTGGAACCCACTCCTGTACAAGCGACCAAAACATTTTGTTATTGTTATTACTATTACATATTTTTTTAACCGTCTGTACTTATATGACTCAATTATAAATGCTTACATTTTCAAATAAGTAAAATAAATATTGAGACACGTAAGTACAATTTTAGTACACTGTGGACACCATTATAGTTAGTGTCGGTATTATTACCATTTTTTACTTTGACTTTGGCGAATAAATTAAGTTTTTGTTGCTGTCATACATCTTTAAGAACCTAGTCTATATTTTTTTGGTACACCGTTTCAGTTTCTTTTATCAGAAGCAATTATTTAGTTATATCGAATCCGAGAAGTGAATCGGCACACAAGCGGGGAATTATTTTATTTAGTTTATTTCATTATTTCACTTTGACTTTATTTCCATGTACAAGAGGATTATTTTAGTTATTTTTAGAAGTTATTGTTTTGTTAAGCTTAGGTACAGGTTGTGTATTTTTAGTTAGAACAGACATATTCATTCGTCAGTGCGTCGCTGTGCTGGCACCATGTTGTCGTGCAATATAGATGTAATGATATTTGGCGCGTCGATGAGACGAGCTACAACAGTAGTGTACTCGTGTATGTCGGGCGACAAAATAGCATCATCCTAAGCCCGAGCGGTAAGAGCGTCAGAGATAAAGGCAAGCGAACCCTGGACGTCTCGAGTTATCCAAGCAAATGGGAGATAAGTTTAGGTTAGCCTAGTTCCTAACCAAAAAAAATCACCTCACAAAGTACATAGGCTTATCTTTTGTACTTATGCCCGGTCTTGCAAGCGTCTGATTATATATTTGGTAGGCCTATATTTGGGTGACTAAAATTAATAGATCAGGTACCGGTAAATAATTTATGACTTAGAAGACTTACCGTAATGATGTTGATGGTAGACAAGACAGATTTTTTATGGAATGTTCAGCCAGAATGCTTGAAGTGGGTTTTTGGTTGTTACTGAAAAATAAACCAATACTTAAACTCTTCTAGAAACAAATATTTGGGTTGTTTTTAGGGTATGCGAGTACAAGGGTGGTAGAGTATTTTTGAGTGAGTACTTCAGTACCTATCTTACTTGTCTGGACTCGAGCCTTTCAAGAAATCTCTTAGAGTCAAGCTATTTAATAGTTATGTTGGAAGCATTTTTATTTGTACAGTAGGCCTATGGGAAAATCAACACAACATCTTTACACTAGCAAGTTAAGTAACTTAAGAGTCAGCCTCCATACCATGACCGGTGGTTAATAGTAGGCCTACTTAAAATGATAGGCCTAAATGTTTTTTGTGCGTATTTATGTCCTTTGTGTATTCTTCTGTATGTAATTTGACGACTCTATTAATGGATGAAGCATTCATAATAGGAGATCACCTGACGATGCCTGAATAGGAGAACACGTTGTGAGTTTGTAAAGGTATGTACCTTATAATGTTCTAACTTATAGTTAATGTCAACTGACCTTAAATCATAAAAGTTGTAAAACTGAGAAGAGATGTGTAAATTGATTTGTTTGGATACCTCAAGAGCAATACTTAAATGTAAATCAAATGAGAAGGACTGATTCCTAGATCTGTCAAATAAATAACAAAAGTATATTTTTAAGGTTAGGATGTGGAAACAGTCTTTTTTGCCTGATATATTTCCTGTCGCTATTATAAAAGGTAGTAAAAATAAACATTAAGTAAACAAATGTGGAGTGTTTTACTTTCCAAAACTTACCAACTACAACATGTAACCATTCTGTTTAGTTAAACAGAAGGCATACGGTAGCTAACGTAATTCCTTTTACAGTAATTCTACTACAGTAGACAGGGAGTCTAATAAGAGGGACTTATCCGGACTCCTTGGGACCGAGCTAACGGTTTTTCCGATTAAACCGACGTTCCCAAAAACTTGTTAAACAAGAAGAACAGTCGTTTCAGTACCGCACACTTCCCGCCGATCTAGTCTGGTTAAACCGATGTGCTGATAAAAATTGTCCGGTTACAGAGATGATCAAATCAAATCAAAAATTCTTTATTCATATTGTATATACATACATGAATAGTGTCAGACTATAACTAATTTGTATGCATTTTGATTTCGATTTACAGAAAAGTAGGAACCGCATACAGTTTCATTTTTTTATTTTTTTTCCATCAGAGCACCTCAACCTTATTTATTTAGTCGTTTTTACATTGAAAAATTGATGATAAGAGGGAGTCTACTGTATGTTCATTTTTATTCTACAATTGGCAACATGTTTAACATGGGATTTAAATTTATGCTTCTATAAAAATAAAAATAAACACAATTTGTTCACCCTCTTAGTTAATTTAATCATAGGTTTCTGTGACAACAAACACAACAAGTTGTTGGAAATAATATTTACCTCAGGTGGAACTGGTGAGGTGGGTTTGCCGCGGCAGTTGAATTGTGAGTGTTGGTGGGGCTGGTGAATGATATGAGGTCACTAGTGGCGGGGGTGGCAACACTGTTGCGCCGTCCAGCAGGCGGGGGCTTGATCTGGTACACACAGGGTCCACCTGTACAGTATATGGCCTCGTGAACAGATATAATCTAGCCACCAAACAATAAAAATAACAAATTACGCAGAACATGCAGTAAAAGAATAAAAGTTACATTCAGTATTCAAATCTTACAGCAGAGTCTCAACTAACCAATCTTTGGTTATCCAGTCTTCCATGCGGTAAAAGCTGCTGCAATGTGTGTAATTATTAGATCTGAATTCAAAAGAAGAGTTAAAACACATTTTGGACAGTTTTATAGACCTAAAAAGAAGCGGGGTAAACTGGCCATGATGTCATCCAAGCCAGATCATTCAAAAAAATTACTATACAACATTAACTAACTACTAACTAATCACTTATGCAAAGTTTGAATGAAGACAACGTAATGCAATTGACAAGACTTATAAGTTGGCTTCTTATGCAACACATAAGGGCCTAAATGAGGATCTAATAAATTTATTTTCATAAATTTAAATTTAAATAAGTAATACACAAATTAATGAGCTGGTGTCACCTGTCTGTCTACCATGTTATCTTATGGGACCTCTGACGCTAAACAACACTACTTGCGATGTTGCCAATTCTACCAGATCGCGGCCTGGAGTTAAAGGTGCCCGTGAGTATAGACTATTATAAACGAGTAATCTTTTATCAACTGTAAAATAAATTAATGTGTTCTGGATTGTTAGGCTAACTCTCCAACTGGCAATGGCAGAAGTCTGTAGTGGCAAGGCATATTTGGTGATTTTGCAGTCATACTTTCAAAAATTCATATAAACTAAACCAATGGAGCGAACCTATTGAACCGTTAACTTGCATTTATAGCAGCCTGTAATCTTATTAATCTAAAAGTAGGCTATAATATTCAGGTGAAAAATGACTTTATTACCTGTATTGAAAGAACCAGGACGAGGTCTCGAGCGACTTTCAATTGAAGTAGAAATCGTTGATTCAACTGATGATTCCCTTGAGAAGCTTTTATCTTGTTTCAATATCCTAATTTTTTGGTCTGTAAATTTTAAATGTACACTTGGTTAGTTGTTTTTATAGTAGACCAACAAGTTATTACTCAGTGATTGTAAAAGTAACAAGTTATAGTAAAAGTTTGTTTTAAAATTGTTTTAGCTGCGTTTTTTTCAAGCTAATTCAAGTAGTTTTTTCAAGCTAGCCTTTTCAATTCTGTTCTTGGAATTGAAAAGATCTACTTTGGAGTATTGTTTTGATACTTAACAGTACAAGTTTGGACCAATGAGGTTCAAGAATTGAAAGAAAAAAAGTAAAATTGTAATACTTTGAACGTGAACTTATCAGATGTTAAGACCAATTTAATTGATTAAACAATAAATTATGAGTGAGTGGTTGGGACAATAAGTCGTTGCACTACAATGAGTGGCAATGAGAGGTTATAAATGAAAACATAACCTCTCTTAGTAGTTGTGAGTAGTGATTGTTAGAAATAAAAAAAACGGTCGTAGGTAAAGTAGTGTACGCAACTTGCGTAATTAGCCTTTACAGCACTCGTACAAGTTTTAAAGGCACTCGCCAAGGCTAGAACCTTAAATTTCCTACTTCGTGTCGTTAAGACTATCCATAAGCGATCCTTGCGTAAACTACTATTAGAGTGTCTAACTGCACAAATTAATTACAAGGAAGTTTCTTTTAAACATAGACTGAGTGATGTCTAATTCATGAATAGAATTAAAAAGTAAAGGATAGATTTGAGTATCATGTATTAAACTATTCTTTAAAGCCTTAACAGACAAGGGCTGTCATAAAATTAATGTAAACAAAGAAACAATCAAACTGTTTGATTTAGACTCGCTGGCTACTTAATAGAGGAGTATATGCATTCAAATGGTCGAGTATTTTAGAGCGAGTATTTCAGTACTCGGCTTGACTTGCGTTTCCCAAGAAAACTCAAACGGTTAAGCTTTGTTATGAGTTTGCTGAAAGCAGCGCCGTCCTTAGGGTGGAGCGAGTGGAGCGGCCGCTCCAGGCCTTGCGCCGGAGAAGGCCTCGCGCAGCGAGGCCTTACTATCGCTAGAAATAAGTTAATGTTTTGAAATGAAAATAAAATAATAAAGGACAGACAGATACATGTGCCTAAAATATGTCTTATTTATTATGAATTGGCCTATATCAATCGTTGTATCGATTAAAAACCTACAAACGACACTTAAAACACAAAATAATATCAAACAACGTTTGACAGCTCGGCGGCGATGACGGAACCCGAGCCTCGCGGCAGCCACCGAGCCACCCCGGTGAATCTGAGTGAGTCATACGCTTAAAGGCTACGGCCAAACGGGCGTTTTTTCACGCAAGAACGCAGCGTAAAAAAATTCTAGAAATATGGGCAGCATTAAATGTAATGATGTATGCCATACGGAGTGTGTATTCACGCAGATTCGGCGCGTCTTCAAAATCGACCACTTAGGAGGATCTTAAAAATAGGCCGATCTTACTGGACCACTTAATAATTTTGTTACTAAAAGGAAAGGCATTTAGTTGGACTTCAAAAAATGTAAGAGCAAGAGGCATTTATGTAGTAGAATATATATTCAAACATATGATGAAAATCTTGTCATAAAAATATATATATTATATATTTTTTATACTAAATGTCAAAATAAAATAATTTTACTGTTGTTTTCGTATCGAAATTAATATGTTATAGCCTATTTATTTTTTATACTAAATGAAGAAGATGAGAAAAGTTTTTTCGTCAAAGTGCTTAAAATGACGACTTTACAAGTGTAATTTTATAAACATTTTCCGGGGGGGGGGACCCCCGGACCACCCCCCCTCGGGTGGGGGGTACTCCGTACCCCCCCGACCCCCCGGTGAGCTTAGTTAAACAAGGCCTCACAATTATGTATTGCCCCAGGCCTCGCATGTTATAAAGACGGCTCTGGCTGAAAGCATTTATAGCCTTCTCTTACAGCATGGCAGAACCAAGCAAAAGCATGGATTTTTACTTTAGCATGTTATGTTATAACTTTTACTCGCAATTGCCCTTAAGACATAGGCTACGCCTACTTTAATAAAGTTGTTACAACTGTAAAGAGAAGTATAAACTGCTTGATTTGGATACCAAAAAGACAAGCCTCAAAGTAAATGAAATGGTGTAAACAACTTAATAATCTGACAAATGAATGACAAAAGCATATTTTTGAGGTTAGCACGTTGATACAGACTTTTGTTGTTTGCTCATAAATAAATTTTCTGTTGCTGTTCTTAAAAGCAGTGACATCATATTTAAACATAAAGTGAATAAATGGTATCAGAAATCTGATACATACTTTCTCCTATAAGCTTGTCAGCAACCAGCTTGTCATAGTGGTGGGAGTAACTATGATAATTTTGTAGAAAAAAAAGTTGTAATAACTTTTGAACCGTAATTGTTACAGTAATGGGGGTTGTATTATTTTGTTTATAATTATAAGGACCATAATTAACACATTTTGATCAAAACTGGGTTTTTTTCCAAAATCAGATTTTTTGTAAATTTATTGGATTTTTTATAGGAAAATGACATAAGTTACAATAACTTTTGAACCCTACATTTTACAGAAATGAGATTTAGACCATTTTGTTCAGAATCTCATGGGCTATAACATACTAAATTTTTGAGAAAATCAGATTTTTCCGTTATTTATGGAAAAATCCCATTAAAAATCAAAATTTAAAAAAAAATTAAAAAAGAAACCTCTGGAGATACCATGTATCAGAGTAGGTACAGTAGACTCTCGCTCATCCGGACTAATATAGCAGACGTCAGGTCCAAATTACGATAAATCCGACTATCGAGAGTCGAGCAAATCTGTTTTTTCAGGTCCACAGAATTGATAGCCGGGCAGATGCAATTCCACTGGTAATAATTTTTACCCCCAAGTTACCCAAGTTTTTGATGACTAACCAAGGTAGTCTCGGTCGCGTTTAGCTCGGATAATCGGACTTATACTGTATCGTACCACTAAAAAAATCACGATTGCCAATCCGGACTAGTGGGAGTACGAAAAAGGCCGATCCAGATTAGCGACAGTCTACATACCAAATTTCATCAAAATCGTACAACAGGTGTGGTCTGTAGCTCATCCACACATAGGCCTACAGACACACACACAGACATCACTTCGAAAACCAATTTTTTTTGGTTCAGGGAGACCCAAATGGATACATCCACTCAAAAATCAAATTATAAAATTTTGACGAAAACAATACATTCTCCATATATTATGTATAGTGAGAGAAAGTAAAAATACCCTCGTCGCAGCAAACCTGCAGACTAAGTGAATTTCCATTTACCTGGCTGGATTTCTACTAAAAATATTCTAGATTTATTTCCTATTTACTCTAGGCTAATTAACTTTAGTGGTAACTTTAGCCTATTCTTACCAAATATATTTTCCTGATTTGTTCAATAATCTTAATCTTTACTGTAGTTGTACCAGAAAAATAAGTAAGTAAGTAAGTAAGTATACAGGAATTAAGTTTTGAAATAGAAATTTGTTAAATTGAGAGAAACATTACTTTAGTTAAAGCTTTATACTGTAACCGAAACACAATCATCGTCTCACACAACAGCGACCAAATCTTGAATATCTCCATCGGTCACAGAAACGTCATCAACGTCTTCCGCAATCACTGTAAAACCCTGATATCTCACCGGGCTGTGTGGTTATCGTCTCCCACGGTCACCAAAACGTTATCATCGTCATCCACGATTGTGACAGAATTCTGGGTATCTCTTATGTGGTCATAATAGTCATAGTCTAATCATTCCATAACATACAATAGCCTACTTTTGCATAGATATCAGCAATAATCGTAATTTATTTGGATGAATATTTTGTTTTTAGAGAAGTCAGGTCCGAAGAAGTACAAACTAGGTTGGTACCAGTAATGCATTACCTTTTTCTGTTTGACTTTGATATCGGTGAAGTTCCATTCTTAACTTCTCCATCCTGAATTTTTCGAGTGCAAGGGTTTCCAGGCTAAGTGCCTGTGCCTTTTCCAAATCTTCTTGAAACTGTCGATCATAGTCGGTGTCATCTTGACCAGTTTTTGCCATCTACAACAATTATTCATACTACTTACTGTAGGCTATACATAAGAGATTGTACTGTGTAGCCTACAAACATCTGACATATTGTTTTAATGAGAAATTAACAAAATCCAATCAGCGTTCCGATAAGCTTTATAAAGGCTACCTAATGTCATGACTAAACTATGACCAATAACATTGAAAAAAGTGTTTTTACTACATAGTTTTATGCGTACACCTCCTTGGTCTTAAATATAAGTTAGATTTAAAACGTCTTCTTTAATAGCCTATGTATTATTTTAATAGAATTTGGTTAATATATACCAATTGAAAGGGAACTCAACTGGGTGTATTTAAATTTAAATATGAGTGAAGGATGTAGAATTGAGTGAGAAACCTTATGTAGCTTTATCACTCAATTGGAAATATTTAACTTGCAATTATAATAATATTTTTTTATAGATTTTAACAGACTTTTACTTAGTATTTGCAATGTAAGCAACATAATTTTACAACTTAAATAAATGTCTCGTACATTGTAGCTTATTTGATCACTTTTACACAAAAGCTCTAGAGCCTCTGTGGCGGAGCCCGAAAGGATTTTTGAGATAAGAATGTAACTATATGTTAATCGGGAATGTGAGCTATTATCACACCAAATTTCAGCCCAATCCGACCAGTGGTTAAAGCGTGATTGAACTTCAAACAATCACACAAACTTTCACATTTTATATTATTAGTATGATGTCTTGTAGGCCTACATTGTAGCTAAATATTTGATCACTTTTACACAAGTTTAAAAATTGTCTTAGTCTGCATCAATCAAACTCACCTTACAAACATTTACGACTTGCCTATTTCTGTTTTTGAAGAAAATATTTTATGTCCCTGTAATCTCTGTCAGCTTCCTAGCATCGGGGCTAACCTAAAAAGCAAAATACACTTAGGATTGTCAATTTACTAAAAAAACTACAGAATGTCTATTCTTGAAAGTTATTAGGCCTAACTTACGTGTGAGAAAATTGACAAGAACTAATAAGTAGTTTACGCTTGTTTTGAGCGTAACGAGATGAGTGAACGTGAGCGCAAAAATGGGCGTGTTCACCCGGTACTTACCGGTGTTACAGGAAAGTAGTGTCATAGAATGATAATCAAACAGCCTACAATGAAGTTGGTTGTTAAGTTTAAGGTTTGCCAATCATGTAAAATTCATACAAATGTTTACTTCTTTAAAAGGCAGAGAATTCATTTATTCATGGCAAATTCACCATTTTAATTATAAATTGGATGCATGGAAACTTGTAATAGGTACTGTAGCTGCCTAATGTGTAATTTTGTTTGTTTGATAATAGTAGGCCTAAGTTAATTCCAAGTCATGTAAACATGACTTGGAAGTAACTTAGGCCTTAACTTAACTTAACCCCGGGGTTTTTAGAGGGGGTTTTTTGGTGAGTAGTCTGATAATTTTCAGGAGTCTCACACTACAGGCTGGCTACCTGTGTGGGTAAAAGCATTTTCCCTCCTCTCCCTAAAAGAAACCCCTGGGTTAAACCCTCTTCTTTGTGATCAGTGTCTCCTTACAACCAAAATAAAAATTCTGTTTAATAGGTCAAGAAAATCCCGTTTTACTTTAATGAAAAATCCTGTTTGATCCCACGTGAATATTCCTGTTGTGGCATCAAATTAGCCACAGCTGTGATGCCTTTGGTCTTCACTTTATCTTATATATTAAAAAAATTTGGGTTTTCTTTTCCGAGTTCGTTTGGCTCTTCTACCCGACCGATTTTCATGATTGAGGTTTCAAATTTAAGTTATGCACGCACATATTTGCCATCAAGCATCGGCATATATTTATCTATAATCCCACTCTGTTTATACGTAAACGGAATTTGCTCCCCATGTATTTCTTATGGGAGTTAAATTTGGTTTATCTTTGCCGAGTTCGATTGGCTCTTCTACCCGACCAATTTTCATGATTGAGGTCATAAATTGAAGGTATGCACGCACAGATTTGCCATCAAGCATCGGCATATATTTATTTATAATCCCACTCTACTTATACTTAAACAAAATTTGCTCCCCATGTATTTCTTATGGGAGTTAAATTTGGTTTATCTTAGCCGAGTTTGATTGGCTCTTCTACCCGACCGATTTTCATGATTGAGGTCTCAAATTGAAGGTATGCACACACAGATTTGCCATCAAGCAACGGCATAAATTTATCGATGATCCAACTCTGGTTATACGTAAACGAAATTTGCTCACTATGTATTTCTTATGGGAATAAAATTTTGTTTCTCTTTTCCAAGTTCGTTTGGCTCTTCTACTTGATCAATTTTCATGATTTAGGTCTCAAATTGAAGTCATGCACGCAAAGATTTCACATCAAGCATCGGCGAATACTTACCTACTGTAGGCCTATTACTCGACTAAAAAACAATTTGATTAATTTTCGAATTTTTAGCCTACATCAATTTAAGATGTATTTCACCAGTTATAATTATTATATAAACCTATATAGGGTATTTTGGTCTAATAACTTTCAGTGAAATATCAGCTTTTATTTAAGTGACTAAGATGACTCAATGAAAAATCTTAAATTAGATTATTTTACGGATATTATATTTATTTTAACGCTGCGGAGCAGCATGGATCCTCTAGTTTTAATATTATTTTATTATGTTACAGCTGTTGCTAGATTGTTCAAAATGTTTAGTTTAGACTATGTTATGATTAAACACACTTCTTCATTCGTTTGTAAATAAAACTTATAAAATATTCGTTCATATAGTGGTGATATTATTTCATACCGGAATACGGTAGACTAAACATCGCCTGATGTGGCGTCAAATTAGCCACAGCTGTGATGCCTTTGGTCTTCACTTTATTTTAGTATTTATTATGTTACAGCTGTTGCTAGATTGTTCAAAATGTTTAGTTTTGACTATGTTATGATTCAATACACTTCTTCATTCCTTTGTAAATAAAACCTATAAAACTTATCGAATATTTGTTCATATAGTGGTGATATTATTTCATATACCTAGACTAAACATCGGTTAGGCCTATACTGTTCTATCTCAAGTGATCTTTAAGATGTATCACATCCAAATACCAGTTCTTAAAACCTTTTTACGATGCTGTGCTAGGAAAATTTAAGCAATTGGGGTTAGTTTTTTAGTGGAAAGTGGTACAGTAAAGGCCTAAAAAAGATAATTAATCATCTTAGCAAAAAATCATATTTTACTGCAGGGTATATCCTGTTTTAAACCTGTGCGCATTGTCTTTAAATCCTGTTTACGGGATAAAAATCCCAGCGACAGAAGCACTGGTGGTGATGACACACATCAACATTTGACAGTATACATACTTCAGCTCCAGAACTGGTACGGTACTGAGCTCTTTAGCCTAGCCTAGGCCTAAGTTAGGGCGTCACCATGAAGATAATGGCTTTGATATAAAAAATTTGATTGAATTCGCTATATGTATATATCCTTCCATCTTCGAACTAGTAATTATAAGCTAACTGCACAAATAACTTGGTTATGCCTGTCAAATTCTAAAAGGTCAATAAAATGGATAAAAAGAAAAGAAATATCTAGACCACAATCCTCCGTCATGTAGGCCTACTAATAATGTATTGAATTAGGTGTTACATTGAAGTTGTTATGATATAATATAATCTAAGGAATACTAACGAAATATACTTGTAGTGGAAAACACTAAACTGTTGACTAGGCCTACCTCAAACACTGTTACAACTGCAAAGCTGCTTTAACAACGTAATTGAAAGTTAACATAGCTATTTATTTTGTTAGTATACTATTGCAAATAATTAAAATAAAACATTTTTCATATATTTAATTTGATTTTTTAATTAAAATAAATAATAACATTGCTAAAATCTTCTAACCAACGAGAACTTTAGCTGAAAGTGACAGACAACTGAACATGAACATTTTACTGTTATTTAAATGCCTTTGCTGCCAAACCCAACCCGTGCTACCCATCAGCTGGTACCATCAAACCCCACAGAATATTGAAATAGGACAAGCTATTAACAGTGATACTCTCTCTTACTATATGAAATAAAATGCCCTTCACTACAAAGACATTTTCAGACTAATAAGATTAATATTTGGGGGTTTCAATGCCCAAATATAATATAAACCGTTGTTATTTTGCATGGCAAGTGATCCGATTTCAATTGTTCAGTGTGACGGTTTCAATAATTGTTTCCTTCTTAGCGAAGTCGATGAAATTGTCGATTCCATATCCGATACTGTATAATAATACACGTCTACTCATACATACATTATGAACCGGCACCTCAGACTTTGTAAGGCGGACTTCTGTTAGCTGGTGAGATCGCGTTAAGTTTGTGAAACTTTTTAAGAATAAAAAGACTCTCGACATACACGGAATGCCTGTAAATGTACTTAAATACGTAATTTTTGTTATTGCTGACCCATTAAGCCATGTGATAAATAGATGCATACAAGAGGGATGCTTCCCAGATGTCCTGAGTCCTGACGGGTAGCTATCAATGCGCCACCACGTCAAACCGCCACCTCGGTGTTTTGGTCAGAGGCGTCAACCCGCAACCACAAAAAAAACCGAGGTGTTGGGTTGACGTGTACGTACAGGTCAACCCGCCACCTCGACAACAGGCCACCACGACAACCCACCACCACACAATTTTCCGAGATGGCGGGTTCTCGTACACACTCAAGCACGGCCGCCTTTAACCTCAAGTCAATGAGCCACCATACGACAACATCGTGAAGCTTCATGTTCGATGTCGGCAACCCGCCACCTCGCACGTAGGCGACAACGCACCACCCCGTCAACCCACCACCACTCTTTTACGAGGTGGCGGGTTGACGTGTACGCTCAGTGTTCGGTGCCGTCAACGCGCCACCTCGCTCATAGGCGACAACGTGCCACCTCGACAACCCACCACCATGCACTCTTGTCATAAATCGGTTGCATTTATATTCTGTAGCATTAAATATATTGTACGTTGATTCAGTTAATTTAGTGAAAGTTAATGTAACTCTTAAATAGCATTTCTGGAAATCTTAGTTTATTTTCGGAAGAAAGATTGATAAGTAATACAATTATTAACATGGTGAAACCCCGACATTTGAAAGGGTCTCACGCCCTTAAGGGTAGGAAGTATTAAATTGTAAAACCTTAATGCAAAACTACGAATTGGGCCGAATCTTTTAACACCTTAAACGTTGAAATTTGTCCACAAATAAGGGAGGAGTAATGTTAAAAAAAAAACAGCCCTCACGTATTAATATGAGAGATGATAATGTATACCAAAAACAAAAATAGAATATTTATTTTAATTAATTGCCAGTGAATAAACATTATTTTTTCATTAGGCGTATAAAAATTTGTACAAACAAGTTTGCCCTGCATTGTAATTGCCCTACTGTTAACATTAAATATATCAATAACATAATTTTCACAACTTATGGTTATAGAATTTTTCTTCATTTCAATCATCAATGGCATAAATAAACCTACCACATAGTTGTGTAAATTACAGTTTACAATCATGGTTTACAATTAACATATGTTCTTCTTCTCACTTTTAATTTCTGACAACAGTTGGAGTTACATAACAATGTCTGTTTCCCATGAATCTTATGGAGAAATACGAAACTTTAAAGGGTCCCTGGGCCTCATTCTAATTATTTCCCTAAAAAGAAAGTTTCCTGTACAACTTCACTTTACGCACTTTCCAAATTACACCAAAACATGCCAATTGGTTTAGTAGTTTCGGAGGAGTAAATGTCACAAAAAAACTCTGCTTGCGTATGAAGTAAGTTCAAAATCCCTCACCTTAGAATTTTGAAAGCCCGTGGAGCAGAGTACTAGTTCAATATCGAAGGGGGGTAGTTATATATGTATCCTCGGAGCGGTAGCTTGATTTTTGTCCAATTTGAGTCAAATCGGTTCAGTAGCTTATAGATAGTTTATCTCATTCAAACACACATACACAACCTCTTCTTTATAATAGTACTAGCATAGTACCCGTCCTTCGTACGGGGTTGGCATGTAAGTATAAATGCTTATTGTAGTTATGGGAGAGGACACGGTTTAAGAAAATTTGGTCTTTTATTTTATACGGTATCTTATAGTGTCCTACAGTATCTACCATAGCCCTGATTTTCTACCACTGCACCTAAACCATGAAAAAAAGTTAAGTTCTCATTGTGTACCACAACTTTTTGTTGCTAGTTGGTTAAAATTAGCTGTGGTCATAAATGCCAAAAACATGCTGCACCCTGTTGGTAAGCCTTATACCTTTTTAATGCTATTTAATATCATAGAACCAACTTGTGAAGTTGAAAGGGCTGACAAAATTCTTTAATTTCTTTAAATATGAATACTCATAAGGATTACATGAGAAACTCCAGAGCCAGAGCCACTGGAGCGGAGCCTGAAAGGATTTTTGAGGTAAGAATATGTTTATATGTTAATCGGGAATGTCAGCTATCATCATACTAAATTTCAACCTTGTCGGTTTAGTATTTTTCGCGTTTATTTGTCACAAACATCCATCCATCCATCCATACATCCGTACATCCAAACTTTCTTACTTATAATATTAGTAGGATAAGTAAACTGTTGTAATATTGCTTGTTTATGGATCGATTTTTATCAAACTTGGCAAATTTATTTATTTCATAGTAAGCTAATGATATGTTCCTTAAAATCACACTACAGTCTTCGTTACCCTCCCTGTAGGCAGCAAAAACCTAGGTACTCGTTAAACCTAATGTTATTGAATCAGATTTAATTGAAAATAAAGTCACACAAATGGAAATTTGCTTTGGCTGCAGGTTTGCTGCGGTGGGGGTATTATGGAATTGTAATTTATGTAGAAAGAATACTTTGTGGTAGTACATGATTAACTCTAATTCATATTAGATACTAAACAAATCAATCCCGTTGGTGCAATCAGTAGCGCCATTTGAACAGCTACTGCAAATCAGCGCTACTATTCGTATTTGCTAGCAGCTATATACCCGTGCCTTGCAACGGGGTCAGTATGCAAAAGAGGCAATGTGGGTTCTTAGAAACATGCCAAATAGTTTTCCAAATGCCAAATTTAGAAACAAAATTTAACTGTCCTACTTAACTTGATAATAGTACGTTTTTGTTAACTCTTACTGTGATTACTTATTTATGCTACCTACGATACAAAACCAAAGATATATTTTAAGGTATAATAAACGAATGTATTTCATGGTTTGCACTCTAAACGAAAAGCTATCACAATAGTTCCAAACCAAAAAATAGGAAAATAGAAATAAATATGGAAAATAAGGGTAATTTTATAACATATTTTAGTGAAATTATAATCAGGCAAATGGAAATTCGATCAGTCTATATATTTGCTGCGGCAGGGGGGTTATTACTGTTTACACAAAAATAAATAAAAAAAAGCCTTATAAAACTCAGGATAAGAGCCTAGATTGATACGGCAATGATTATAGAATCTTAATTATTTCCTATATCCATGAACAATTTTTTTTTTACAACGAATTATTCCCTGTAAAATATTATTACAGCATTTCACAAATATTAGAACAGACTCAGTATAATAGATCATAAACATAAACAAATGAAGTAACTGAAAGAATCATATACTAATGAAATTCAAATTACATTAACATACGGTTTGACAGCTCCATTTAAGTAATGTTAAATAATGTTTACCGTCGGGCTAGTGACATCATTATTTTAAATTTGTAATCCTTACCCTCTCTGTTCTAATACTCGTGTAGGCCTAGTATTTAATATGTTTGAACCAGCTGTGTGGAATTATGAAATCAAAATTCATTTGACAGTTAGTTCTGCTTGTTTACATTTTTAAATTGTGTAGGTTTGTTCTTTGTTACCATGGATACCATCAATCAATATTTACTTTTAAATCTCTCACCTCAAATTTTTGAAAGCCCACGGGGCAGAGCCCTAGGACAATATCGAAGCGGGAATAGTTCTATATGTATCCTCGGAGCTGTAGCTTCATTTGTGTGCAATTTGAGCCCAGTCGGTTAAGTAGTTTTTGAGATTACCTCATACAAACACACACACACACACACACACACACACACACACACACACACACACACACACACACACACACACACACACACACACACACACACAGACACCACCTCTTCTTTATAATAGTACTAGCAGAGTACCCGTCCTTCGTACGGGGTTGGCATAGAAGTATAAAATGCTTATTGCAGTTACGGGAGAGGACACGGTTTAAGGAAATTTGGTCTTTAAATTTATACGGTATCCTATAGTGTAGCACACATCTACCATAGCCCTAATTTTCTACAACTGCACCTAAACCATGGAAAAAGTAAAGTTTCCATTGTGTACCACAACTTTTTGTTGCTAGTTGGTTCAAATTAGCTGTTGTAATAAATGCAAAAAACATAATAGTGCTGCACCCTGTTGGTAAGCCTTACTTTTAATGCTAATTAATATCATAGAACCGACTTGTACAGTTAAAATGGCTGACAAAATTCTTTTATTCCCTTAATATGAATACTCATAAGGCTAACATGAGAAAATCCAGAGCCAGAGCCACTGGGGCGGATCCTGAAAGTGTTTTGAGGTAAGAATATGTCTATATATTAATCGGGAATGTCAGCTATCATCACACCAAATTTCAACCTTATCGGTTTAGTATTTACTTAAGTATGTATCTGTCACATGCAAAAGAGACAATGTTGGTTCTTTGAAAATGCCAAATGGTATCACTCCTACCATTTAATTCAGAAACAAAAT